CCCTGGCTCTCCTCTAGGAATGATCGACATATCTGTGATATAACCAACAGCTCTTTTATTTTGGGGAGATGGTTCCTCACACTACTGGGGTAAAGCCCCACTAATTCAAGGATGTCCATCCTTTTCTACTCCTATGCTCCCACAGGAGCACACAACAAAAGATGAGGGCCATGAAAAAGTTAATTCCTCCAATCACTCTGTAGAGGTTGTCGTAAGACCCCAACGTATCCCTAAAGAAACCTGTCGAAAAATATGCACGAATTAGATTTTGATAGAAATCTAATTTGATAGATTAGACCAATTTTTATTGGTCTAATGTATATCTAATGCTAAAATACGCTCATTATCTTTCACAAAGTACACTAAAAATTAATCGATGCAAAAAAAAAAACTGCATAGGGTGAATACGAGAGAAGAATAGGAAATAGCGACAATAAAATTTGGGCGGTGCCAACGAAAAGCAATGTTTCAATTAGGTATCGGCACAATAGTAAACTGGATAAGGCTAATGAGCAAAAGTTGAAATAATAAAACAAAACGTCAGGTTTTTATACGGCGACATTCCCCTTCCTCCGTATACCGACTCCGCGATTTTCCCACTATTGTCGATATTAACACGACCGATTCGGACGAGACTTTTTTTTCCTCCCGTATTTGAACGAGACTCCGACAACGAAGAAAGCACAGACAGGACTATTTGCGACTCCAGCGAGCTATAGAGGACGCGAGTGTCAGGCAAAATGGCGAACAAGAAGAGGTGGTTTTCGTCATTCAGCACGCGTACCACCATACATTTTTTGCACTGTAACGTAAAATCGGTGTTACATAAGAAAGCATAGCGATTTTCCGATGGTAGAAAACTCCTTGTAGTCAGTGCGCAGGAATGACACGGCCGAAGCGTAAAAATAATTACTGGAAACGATGTTTGTTTTTATGCTGCCTACGAGAACCAAGCAGCGATAGCAGACCACAAAGTCGAAACGAACCACTCTCCTGAGCTCCTCGGCGTTGCCGCCAAGCGGCCTCGATTTTGCTGGAGTCGCCAATACGTGTCTGTAATCAAGTTTCGATATAATTAAGCTTTAAAAAATTAGTGCGATTGACATTCTTCGGCCTACTTTCCTTTTACGTTACCTTAATAAGTTCCTTTCAAATCTTCTATTTATAATATAGTATGTGTCATATTCGTGTGCGCCAAACTGCTGTGGCACTTTGAAGTAATGATAACATTATTTTAAATTTCAGGCCGAAGAACTGGACTTGATGCTTCATGCAACCCTCTCTTCTTTCATTTACATCGCCTTGCACGATGACTTGCAAGGAAAACAAAATATGCTACTTGATGCGTCCGGTTTTATACTGACCATGCGTGAGCCATGCTACTGGTACTCTCCATTTCTCAGTAGGGAGTTTTAGGGACCTGTTTTTGCCCATCCGATACGATACGATAGGAAATCCGGAACGAACTGCTTATGCGCTACAAAAGAAGACTCGTATGCACGATGTTCGCACCGGAGGGCCCATCGGACCGTATCGGATGTGCAAGAACGGTTCCCTAAAACTCCCTATTAAGTCCGACCGTAGTCAACGCTACGAACCGATGTAGAAAATCAAACAGCGCCATGAGTGAATCGCCACGGCGCTCCTCGCCCTTGTTCCTTTGCTATCACCTGCTAAACCATTCACGCGCAGGGAATAGGGCGTAATCCTAGTTTTTTTTTTTTTGTTTTATTTATTGAGCCGGTGCTAGAAAATGCACAAAAGCACGAGCGCGGTGACGATGCATTTTTGGTGCAGCTTGAGTGGCTGCGCTAGGTCTTAAAGGGCACAGAAGTATAATGCGGGAAATATAATGCTACACATATCATTTCTGAGTAAACCCTACGCCCTTCCGGGTACGAGACTTTCCTGGTAGCCAGGGAAGCACGCAGCACGCGTCTGTTATATACCTACATCAGTTGTGCATACCATAATTAAGCATGCCGTAATGCGCGAAGCGAATGTGATGTGATATGTTCGCTTCCGAACAGGGAAATCCGGTTACCAAGGATGTTATTCAATTTGCATTATGCTTATATCGATATATTAAGATGGCAATATTCGAATTATGGTAATGCCACAATCGTTGATTGGTCGCGGGAGGCCCGTTAAGTCGAAACGTTAAGTGAATTAGTTCTAAATGTCACGAAAAGCTTCGTGAACGTCGACAAAACAAACTTTCCACATTCTTCGTTTGTCCTACTGGCTACAGATAACCGCTTCGGTGAAAGCACGCGCACGTTCGAATTACGCGCGCACCATGGTGATGCCAAAGCAGCGCGCGTGCACGAATGCAGCCAACCACAGCTCATTGTCCGCGCGCCTTTGAAAATGGCAATGCTACGATGAATTCTATTCCGTTCGAACATAACCTGTGTCGCTCGCGTGAATCTTTCTTTTCGTTTGTCTACATCTTCACTCGATCCGAGCCGTTTCGAGGCACTCGTTTTATATTTAGATTATACAGCAAAAACACGGCACGATACTCCGTTTTATCTAAAGTTCAAGCGCTCAGCGCTTCTAGACAAAGGGACCAATCGACCTGCATGGAACGCGCTAGATCACGGCATTTTTTTGTGTTTATGGGCGTGTGTTACCGCCAAATGATAACATGAAGCAGAAAAAATCTGTCGTGACATGACGTTTTTTAGTCTGTGAGTTTGTACTTGTGTTGCAATTATTCCTTATGGCCCCGCTCGGAACCTCAGATAAAACGGAGTAAAGACATCTGTCAAATCGTGGGCACCTAAACCGGATCATCATCATGTCGCCCCCGTCAGTTGGTGGCATAAAAATAGTACGCAAAGGATTGTTCAAATATATGTGCAACCACTAATCTCCTTAGGGCCGGTTGCACCAACGTCGCTTAGCGCAAAGCGGAGCTTAGCCGGGAACTTAAGCTTAGTTTCGGTTTCGTTCGGTTGCACCAAACTCGCTTATCGCTAAACCTAGCACTAAACTACGCTTAACTTAAGCGCCCAACATTGGGCGCTTTGCTTCTGGTTGTTTCTTAATCCTGGATTAAAAACATGGCGGCTGGTTTGTCACGGTCGACGCGGTGGACGAAATTGGTTGTGCAAAGTGTTTTAGGCTACATCAGCGTGAAAGTCTCGACAAAATGACTTTCGATTGTGACAAGGATTCAAAATATTGTCGCGTGAAGTGTTTATCGACCCCTGTTTTCAAGTTGGCTCTCCACTTTCAGGGCGTGTTAGCCCTAACCGAGAAACGTACGGAGCTGTGGGGCTCACGTCTGTATTCCCGTTGGTTCTTCTGTCAACGAGCTTATTCGTATGTACTTACTAATTTTCGCATAGCTGTAACGTATTGTTATTTACCACCTTGTTTATTTACACTTGCAGCGCATATCCTTCAATCTGATCAGCGCGTTGAATAGTGGCAGTACATGATCTCGGCGATCAGCTGATTGTCGACACCTCTGCCGTTTGCATTAGATTGCGGCGCTTTTAAGTAATAAAACAGCGAAAATTCAATTTCTTTCGTTTTCTGAGTTTTGAGACAATCTTCAGTGAATTTTCCTTATCTCGCGAGTAGAATCTTGGCTTCAGAAAACTGTATCGTTCCGTAACTGTAACTTTTTTGGTGATCGCATTTTTTTTTATATATACTTTGCTTTATATCTTTCATTCGTTTCCCGAGAACGAGATACTGTTGTTTCCGAGTTGTGCTCTGTGATGGTGTTTTCCTTTTACTTTTGTCGTTTGTTGTCATTGTGACGATGGTTGAGACTATATACCGGAACACGTTTTCAATAAAATTCAGTTGAAAGTTGCGCCTTGTTCTGTCCTCCGTAACTTTTTTGGTGATCGCGATTTTTTAGGAATATTTTGCTTTATATCTTTCATTCGTGGCGACGACAAATCGTAACGACTACTATGTTAGATTCGTTCATTGCTGTATCGGGGCAGGCTGGGGCAGGTGATGCGAAGAGATGACCGTTCTTATCGGCGCGATGTGATGTACTAGTGGAAGTTTTTTTTGTTTTTTTTTCTGAACTCGACAGTGTGAAACTGAAGTCCGTTTGAGGCTGCAGCGGATGTTCAACGACGGTACAGTGCTGTTCTTTCACCTTGCTGATAGCAACGAGTACCGTCGATGCAAGGTCTCGTGACCTGACCTCTCGACGACTTCTATTCGACGATTTCCGGGCATTTTCGCAGCTGCCGTGGCGAGTTCGTCACTGTTTTGAACTTCATCGGTCTCAGGCTTGACTTGGTTTTAGTAGTCATCTTACCTGCCTACTTATATCCATGATGTTTTGTCTTCAGCGATGTAGTGAGTAGAGTGTCCTTCTCGCGTTCGGTGAGTTTTGGCGCCCCCAATGGCTCCTTCGCCTCAAAATGTGAGCACGAAAACTACTACCACTGTCAAAATATCCTGTTATCAACCGATATTAAACACACAATCACAGATGTAAAGAGCATTCGTGTTTATTTGAAGCTTTGACTTCTGTTATTGAAAGTTAAACGAAAAAATGATTGAATTTGGAGACCTTTAATTTGTTACTCACCGAAGAAATACAGCGAAAAGCAGACGACGACGACGACTACTACGGCAGTTTTTCTTTCTTTTTTTTTTGTTTACATCACGTGATTCCTCTCCGCCAATCGTATTCGTCGCTCTGAGCGTTCCCTAGTTTGCTCTGTTTGTCCCTACATTCCCTACGCAAATCCAGCGTTTAGCTAGGGGCGCGTCTGTAAAGCCGGCTTAACGTTGGTGCAACTGGAATTTAAACCCGTGCTTACCTAAGCTCGGTTTAGGGCGCTAAGCCGGCTTAGGAAAGCGCCGCTTTGGGTTAAGATAAGCGGCGTTGGTGCAACCGGCCCTTAGATGTATCTAAGCCGCAGCCCGACGCCGCTTAATCTAGCCTTCGGTGTTGTTTCAATATTTGGCTAATCAATAAACTCTCACATATGAATGTTTCAGTTGTCACCACTTACCCACAATCCGAGGGTTCCAAAAATAAAACGGGATCACTGCAAGTCCAGTTGCTGCGATAAAAATTGGAACCTTTTCCACGCCGAGATAATCCGCCGCAATCACAGTACTCATGGTCATGAGCGTAGCTTCGACCATTGCCAGGAGGAGCGACACCAGCACAAAAAGTGGAACCGGGGTGACAATGGGATAAAGAATCGCGGAAAGTCCGAGCATTGCGTAGCAAAACATGACCAGCGTACTGCGTCGCAAAAACTTTCTGTCGGCCAGTAAAGGAAGTCCCATGGCTCCGAGAAAATCAGTAAGGGAAGTGTAGACAATGATGGAGGAGGCGGCATCCAGAGACATTCCTCTGGCCATGGCATAGTCTACTATGGTTGAAAGAAATATGTTCTGCGTGTAAGTAACACTCAGCCCTGCCAGAACGACAATAAAGAACATGGGTCTACGGAAAACAGCGATGATCTGGAATACGGAGTGTGATTCCTGTAACACCCCTTCAGTGCCCTTCGGTGTAGGCTGACGTTGACCTTGAGACTGACCGGAATCGCCCTCGTTGTTCGAGATAGCGTTGTCTTTATTTAGTTGTGGTTGTCTAAAACAGGGCGGTTCTTCAAACAGAAAAATGAAAGCAGTCGCGTTTATTAATATTGCTCCTACGATCAAAAGCATCCCTCGAAAACCGTATTCTCTCTCTAAGAAGACCACGAGCTTCGGGAAAATTAAGCCAGAGCAGGTTGCCCCCGCGTACCGAATACCACTTGCGACTCCTCTGTACTTGTCAAAATAAGCCAGCAAGACTGTATGCACTGCAATCAACGTCGCCCCTTTACCGCCACCTGCAGAGGAAAAAAATAAAGATAATTTTTATTACATAAATAAAATAATTTCTTACTGTAGTCTACACTATAGGAACGGGCATACACATACTAGCACATCAGTACGCATTGTACAACATATTATTTCTTCCATTTGCGAGGCACGTTAAAGGCCATTAATATACTTTGTTAGTGGCATGCCAGAAAAAAACTTGCTTCATTATAAAAACTGTCCAAAAATATCACGCAAACAACATGTTTTTGTTACTGCAAGCTGCAAGTATCTCAAAAGAATCAGTTCAAAGGCGCCAGATGTCATAAATTCGGGAAACTATAGTGGTTGACCGGTTAAGAGTTCACCGATAGAGACGAGGCGACCTCCGCGGTCGCTTTGCTAAATTGGAAATACATGAGAGGAGCTGCACCTGAACTAATATTTGGGTTGTGTGGATATTTGTACAGCGTGTAGTTTATCAGCCATTTCAAAGTGCGACGAACCACTCGCAGTAGATGAGCAATATATCCAGTGCAGTACAGCCGCTAACCTGGGGTCTTTAACGTGCATCACGCAGTAGTGATTCACGACCGCACGCCGGTACGATGCTCATCCAGATCGAAACAGGCAGGGGTGGGGATTGAGTTGAGGATCCTGGGCCCCGCAGCACGAGCTTTCGCTCCACGTGCTCCGAACTGGTGTGCGCTAGAGCCACTGTATATGGCAGCGGAGCTGTCAGAGTAGCGACACGACCAACGAGGTAGAGGGGTAGAGTGATTAACCGGAGGTTCGGAAGTGGCACCCCCTGCCCCCCGGTGGCCGCAATGTTGTAAGCAAATGTGACCACTCGTCACGTGACCCCCCAAGAGCCGTGACGTCAAACGTAAGATGGCAGCGCCCAGAGCTGGCGGATGCGAGTTTGTTCGGTGCGCGGTAGCCGTGATGTGCAGCTGCTTTCCGACGACTTCGGGCTTCTTCGTGCTCGCTGAAGATATGAAATAAATGAGACTTTATACCCTCTTTGTGCAAGATCGCTCTGGATCAACTGGATATTAACACCTGCGAGACAGCATCAACCGTATCGCCGTACCGGTGCTCGGATTCCGGGATGTATTCGAGGATCGATAGAACTTTGAGTACTTTTATCATAAGATTTTCGCATTATCTTAGCTTTGTTTGAACGTATAAGTGTCTGAGAATCGACGCGAAATGTATGCGTCGGATGTAAGGCCTAGGGTAATTTATTTCAGCCCTAGGAAACTGCATAATCACAGCAATGTTTAGCGAGGGCGCTCCTGCGATCTTTATGTCTTGCAATTATCAACAATTTTACGATATAACTTCAAGCATAAAACATTCGCATTTTTATAGCTTCAATGAGCGTTGAAATGTCTGAGAATTAAAGCGAAAGGTATACGTCGCGTTAGGGCCTAGGGGAAGTTGTTTCAGCCCTGCGTCACCGAATAACCATAGCAACTTTTAGCGAGGAAGCTCCTGCGATCTTTAACCTGTTGTGCTAATCGACGATTTTACGATCGATCGCCTTTCTTCCTTTTTTGTGAGTGCGAAGAGCACACTTGCTTTCAGCTACGAGGATGACGTTTTATTGAGTGTGGGGATGAATAAATCGTTGCAGGCAGCTACTTCAAAGCTATTCGACTTGCTATAAGAACAACTGTTTTGGTGTAGGCATAAATTAACTGCACATTTTTCTCTTTCGTAGGATTTATTCCTTTTTTTTAAGTCTTTTTTGAAAAGTGTGGGCTGCCTATATTTCGTGTCATTGTAACTTGGAAAAGGGCAACCGCCACAGCCCCCTCGAGCCAATCAGAAAGACGGAGCAAAGGTGTGTGACAAATCTGTCCAGACGAGCACTCTGATGATATGTTGTCATGTTAATCTCTTCAATGTTCATATTTACTCACCGAGACTGTAGCCTTTATCGTCTGCCAAATTTTAACGAAAACGAATTACACTAGCGACTACTCTAATTGCCTCAGGCTTTCATACTTTGGGAATTTGTTCGACAAGAATGTTATGTCCGCCATCCCTGTGAACTCGACCCAGCGCCTATTGGACTCGAATGCTGCATTGGCGTTTGACGTGAACTGGGGCCCATTCATGTACTTTACGCCGAAAAAAAATGGTGACAGTTGTGTTGCTTGATGGGGTTCTGCAAAGGGCCTATTGTGTCATACGTATAGGAAGTGTCCTGCTATGTAACAATGCATCAACAGATAGTATTAAACTCTATGCTCAGAGGTGTGTTTGTTTATGCAATTAGCAAGTTATAGCAGTGTGCTTTAATGTTATTATCGTCTGTGTAGTTGTAAGTATCCTCTCTGCGATGCCTACGAAGGACCCTGGAGGGAATAAATTAGTAAATAACATTTTCACATTACGGGAGTTGGTTTTCGGATGCACCACGTGTTCAGGAGAGGTGGAACGAGTGCAGCTCCGTGCAACATGTCTGCCAGTCTGGCATGTACTATTAATTGATATTGAACGGTCACAGATGCGAGTGTCCTCATAAAAACCTGCTCGTGCCGTGAACACAATTCTTGGTGTATAGATTCTCAAAGCCTAAAGGCAAGCGGAAATGTTTGTCTGGTGAGCGTATCAAATATGTTTATTTCCACTTGATTACATAGTTATTGATTTTTAGTAAATGGTTCCATAACGAGATCTTTCTGCGACAGCCTCGTGTCAGGCGTTCAGTCGTAGTACCTGTGGACCTTGTTGTCGGATGACGCTCCAGGCACGTCAGTGTTCAGTTTGGTCGGGTGGCAGCTTTGACCGACTGATGCCATCTTGTAATCATACGTCATGTGCAGCCACTGACATCTTATGCACTGAAGCTGCAGAGCTGCCTCAGTGCACAAATCCGCAAAATTTCCTAGTAGCTTCTGCATCAATGCAGCAAGCTCGGGCATGTATTGCTTTCGTGATTGTGCCTTTTTTTGTACCTTTGACTTGATTGCTGGCAACAATATTTGTTTGCTATCCAAGCCATTTCACTTCCATTTCGTAATGGTGATTTATTCTGCATCCCGCGACCACTGCAACTTGTGTAAGTCTCGTGTGGCAAAGTGAACTTTGGTGATGCCTGCAGTCCACGTTTGAGAGCAACCAACCATTCTATTCCTTCAAGCCACTCAACAGCATTCTCTCTCAAAGTTGGAAATTGTGTGATTCGTGGCATGGACACAGATAATTAGTGTCAGCATATTATTAGGTATTGTCCTTGGACGACAAGCGACACCAAATCAACTGTCCTTGCATTGCATCTCCCCTGCTTTGTCGTGCTTACCTCCCGTCCAGATGAAGGGGATCACGAGTTTCGGGATAATGTTGGCACCAGAGACAAAGACCGCCGAAGATAATCCTCAATCTTTCGCGGACGCTCGTCGAGAGGTGGTCAAGTTTCGTTCGGCACAAACTCTTGCAGGCCAAATCATTAGCACGGGCACCTCCAGTAGACATGGTCGGCCTCATGCAGTGGTAGCAGAGTGGTTTTCGGTTGGCCATTCGCAGCACCTCCGTTTTCCTCGGAGTACTTTGTTCAGCGCGGATCTACACTGGTTCTTCCCGATGTCGGGAATGCTTCGGCGTTGGGGTGTCTCATTGAATTGGCATTGAATAGAAACAGGTAGCCGGTGGTCGTCGTTGTGACTTTGTGCCATAAGTCGCCCTCTGTTCGTCAGATGCCGCTTCGCTTAAAGAAATCTCCAGTTGAAAATGCCTGTCGAACTTGTTCCAAAACAATCTCGGCAATCAAAAATAAAAGTTGGGTAATTGATGGCAGGAACTAGCTTCCTTATCTCCTCCCGGACACCGTTGAGGATGATGTCGCGATGCCTGGGGGGTTGGCGTCGAAGTTGCAGCTGGACGACTTGAGTGTCGAGAAGCCGGGAACTTGTTGACAGTGACAGGCTCGGGCCTGCAGTGTACATTCAATGTTGGAAGCCTCGGTGATATTAATCCTTCGACTGTTTTCGTGGGGTTGCGGACAAGGCTGCCGAAGGTGTTGTCCCTCACATGAGGGGCATGGGATTCTTAGCTTCTTGTCTTCTGTAGCATCAGGGTCGGCGTGGGTGCGCGATCAGGGGCAAAACATCCTCCTCGAAGGCGGTGAGGCACTCGTTGGTGCCATGTCCTGGACAGAATCAGGAATTCAGCTCTCTTTCGTCAACGTTGGCTGATGAACGTGCTCTTCAGCTCGACCTTGCAAACTTCCCATGCCGTTAAGGAGGATCCGTGGTTCTCAAACCAGTGTCTGGCGGTTTCTTCCACAAGAATTATAGGTTCTGCAGGAGCTGGTTGTCTGTCCACCCACGGTCATGTTGTTCAATCCAGCCCTCGACATCTTCATACACCTTGCGTGAAATAGCGTCGGAGAGCGAGGTGCGACGGGCATGCGAACGATGGGGGGAGCGGACGCGGTTTGCTGCTACAGGTTTGTCATTGTATGCTTAGTCAGCTGCGGGTTTTCAAGCAAACGACAGAATTCTGGTGGTTGTTGCTGGTAGCAGCGACTGGCTCGGATTTCAGGTTCTTAGATGTGTATTTCCGAGGTTCGTCCTTGTGGTACTCGCTCGTCTCACGGTTTTTCTGCCGGGCTCAGGATAGGGCTTGGATCACGGCTCGCTGGTGGTTTAAGACGCGGGATAATCTGCCACCCGTGTCTTGTCATTGGGCAACTCGGCTGCGGAGCCGCCAGGGTCCCCACAGAGTGAAGATCTATGGGTAAAGTGCGCAACACCTCCATCAGAACATACGATGAGAGCTGAGCATGGCCTGGAACTTTTCAGAATAGTAAATATTGATAAAAAATAGGACTGCAGCAAGCATCCGTGACAATATAACAAAACAGACAGCAGAGAGCCTATCCTGACCACTAAAGAAGCTGCATTGCTTTAGTGGCATTCTGTCTGAATAAATCCTCTCCTTCAGGGTTTGCCGACTGCCGTGGACGAGCTGAACTGAAATAGATGTTGGAGAACTTTTCTCGTAATGAGCCGCTGCGGGCTGTCGTTGCAAAGCAGCGTGAATGGGTGGACTGGGTAGGTAACACGCACCATGAAATGCCCATACAGCTTGCAATTCGCGTAACGA